AGCCTGGTCCCAAAGCTTCCTTGCTGTAATTCTCCTCCAAGGTAGGACAGACCTCTTCCACTTGTGCAAGAGTCAAGAGGAAGCCTCGAGGAGGAGTCTTCCTCTGTGGCAGTGCCAACGGCTCGTAGCACAGATGTTCAGAGGGCACTGGTTCACTTAGGCACTGTCTGCTGTGACTCAGCTCTTCCCCCTTCCTAGGGCTGAAGGCTCTTGTGGGGTCTCGTTTCATGTAACGTCTGTCTTTGATGGGCTAATTCATGACTCAAGTCACCAAGTACTATTTCAAAGTGAATTATAATCTGCACTGAAAATTGCAGTTCTGAAATGCTAGGAAATGTCAAAATATGTTGTGCTTACCTGACCTTAACTTGCCTTCCCTCGTGTTTTTGCAGTGTGACTCATTCCTTAATTAAATGATTGCTGCCCCCTGACAAATTTCAGCCCTATCTTGCAAAGTGCAAGCTCATCAGAGCTTTTCAAAGACAGCCCTGACATCCACTCGTGAGCAAAATCCAATTAGTCATCTCCTCCTCAGAAAAGTCCCTGCCATTTTGGCTGAAATGACTGCAGATAAATAAATACATGGATTCTCCTGAGGGTCCTCACCTCCCATCTGTGGACATTATATGATAAGTGTGGTGGCTGGTCCCATGTTTGCCTGCACCTTGTTGTCATTGCTCAGCTTGGATGAGCCAGGCACCTCTTCTGGAACTGGCCATGGTCTGTTGTGCTCATGGTCAGGGTCAGCTCTCCTTGCTCTCTGTTTTTTCAAGGGATGTTGAGTACGTTTCCAGGACTTCTCTTTGTGCCACGCACGGGGTTACCTGCTCATAGAATCGGGAAGTGCTGCTTTTTCACTGGCCTCCCTTACTGGCACGGGGAACGGTTATGAGGGCATCCGCTTGCGGTGGCATATGTAAACTCTGATTTGTGAGCGCAATTACCTGCTTGGTATGCACAAAATGGATTCACTTGCACATTCTGTGGGCATAGCTTAAGAGGCCTGCTGGAGAATTGGTCCCTCAGGGCCAAATGCTGGAAAAAACAGCCTCTGATTTTGTGCTGTCAGGCTTGCCAGAACAGTGGCATAAATGAGATGGATAGCTACCTTGATTAGCAGGTGCAAATGTATTGAGGTTTTTTTCACCGTCCATAAATCAGGCACTTATCCATCGAAATTCTCTCCTTTGCATCTGCAATTGATTCCACCCACAGAACAATAGGGACAGACTTGTAAGAAGCAAATTAGAGGTGGTAGCAAAGGGTCTTTCCTGGAAATTGGCAGAACCCCCTCCCAATATTTCCACCATCTTCAAAACAGGTAGTTTGTTGCCAGAGCCACAGATGGTATTCCTGTCCCAGTTAGGCAGGAGAGTCTTGCCTCTTAGTCTTGCAAGCAGGAGAGAGATGTAAGTCATTTTTAAGCATCCAATTTTTAAGGGCATTTATTAAGAGATTTGGAGGTTGCATGGCTGAATGTTTAAATTGGGAGATGACCAACCTTGGTGAGGGTGTATTTGTGTGCATGAAAACATCCCTTATGTTTTTCAGAGAGTTCAATTTAATATCACGCAGCTTTTGTGCACATGAAGTGATATTTGTTTGTTCCTGTGAACTTCTGCTATTCTCACTGTTGGAACAGCCTAGTGTCTTTATTGACTTAGACTTTTATAAGATGAGCTCCTGTCTCTCTAAGGTATGTAGCTTAATAACTTGGTCAAAAACCATGTAATATACGATTTCTTTTCATGAGGTGGCACAGCTTGCCTTACGTATCAAGCAGAGCAGGAGGCAGTTAACTCCCAAGCTAATTTAGCTTCAGGCTGAAGTGTTATACATAAACAGCCATCAAAATGTATGCCTGCAAGGGGGCTGAGTTAAGGTTATCTGCGCTGTCTTTACACTCTCATTTTCTGCCATTAGAGTGTTTAATCCTGCAGCAGCTAATGTTCTTGTAATGGCATTTCTGAGCTTGTCTAAAGACCACGGAGAGGAGGGAGGAGAGATGAGAACCACTCCTGGGTCCAGCTCACCTGCTCAGCCCATCTGTGCGTCCCATCGAGGGGTCAGAGGCCACTTCTCAGCCTCCAAAGGAGAATGCTGGAGCTGTGCTCACCCCGGGGACAGCA